TTCCCTACATTCAGCAGTCTGAAGTGGTTAGAATGGGTATGAGAGATGAATGAATTTTATTAATAAAATTGTGTCAAATGTGTTCTTCTTAGCCAAATACTTAAATGAGTGTTAGTATTGACGCTTTCATATAAATGGGTGTTTGGATGTAAACACACCGAAAGACTCTGACTCTGAGGATCAAAGTTCTAGGATTTTTGAGACATGTTTTTAAGTCTCTTCTTTGCCCAGAACTGGAGATGATAAATGCTGCTTGGAACCAGAGGAGGAACTCACATTTGTGTAACTATCTCATACCTTTGAGCAGCACCTGTATTCCACACTTTAGAGCAGATCTTTCGCAAATCCAATTCATGCTTATAAGAATGCTAGAAAGAGCTTGTCCTTGTTTCAGTGTGGAAGAAAAACAATTCTAAGACCTTAAGGATGATGGAAAAGCCAACTGATTTTCTTTGCTTTCTTCTGACCACAGCCAGGCTCTATCAATACTTTACTGTGTATGCATGCAGTATCCAGTAAGGCATTTTATTCCTGGGGAGATACTGCAAAGCAAAGCTGAAAGAACAGTGGCTCCATTGGAAAGGAACTGTCTTCTTCCTTTAATGCTTTTGCAGCATCTGGCTCAGTATAGTCCTGCACAATGATCAGAGCTCCTAGGAAATACTGCCATACAAAACATCACTGTCCGGAATAGTTATTACTATTACTGCTCCTACTAACATTATATAAAAATTATGATAGCGACAACAGAAATAAAATAATGTCACTACACTACCATGCTTTGGGATTTAATTGCTACTAAGAAATGTCTCTTCCAAGTTCCAGTAACCCAGGTTTGCTCCACACAGAAACAGCTTATGTTTAGAGTCCATGCAGACACAAAAGCAGAGGGTAACTATTCATTTACCAAAACCGATGAACAATCCATTAATTTGCTTATTAAATTAATGGAAATACTTCTGTATATTATATTTATGTGACTGCTACCTGGTGAAAGCAGAAATTAATTTAATACTCAGTGAGCTTGTGGTTCTGAGAAGAATATGGTCCACTACATCAGAGATAGATAGATAAAGAGATAATCAGAGATTATTATTTATACTGCCAACTCTCTATGACTACTTTCTGCTGTATTCAGTCTCTGAACTTCAGATATTGTCACTTGTGACTTTCGAGGTCCTTTTTTGCACAGCAAGAAGAAAGCAAATGTATCTTAGTGGAAACGAGAATTGCAGACGAAAAGTCTCTGAGGAAAACACTGATAAAAAAATAAGGAGAAAAAAATGCCAGATGTTCAAAGAAAATCTGCTGATGCCCCATCCCTTTGAGGAAATTATTCAGGAACAGTTAATCCATATGAAAATATGGCACATAATACCACCAAAGTCAGTAGGGATATGGGATCTGCCGAAGAAATGTTGGGCATGAGGTATTTCTGTGCTAATACTGCAAAATGTCTTAGAGAAAAGAGGAATATAGTGACACAAGTACCAACACAATTAATTTTGTAGCTACATGCCCATGTCAAAAACTGGATTCAAAACATACTCTTTTGCTTAATAGACATTTACTACTGTGCTTTAAATTATGCATACACATGATAAGTTTTGGAAGTTTGGATCTTGCTTATCAATTCATTAGATAAGTAAGATGAAAAATATAATTAATATCTGGGAGACTTTTCCACTTGTATTCTCTCATTCATTATAACTTGAAAGTGATTCTCCAAATATGCTAGGTTATGAACCTGACTAAGAGTTATTTAACCAAGGCATTGATGAATTAGTATGTTGTGAAATATTCCTGTACAGATTGTGAATGCCAGGTCTCCTAAAAACTTAAACATAGCCAATGTCCATGTGCAAAGCTAAATCTACCTCATCTTACACCTGTAACTATAGCTGAACTTCACCACAGCAGGCAATATATGAAATCCCTCTTTTCACCTATAAATAACCTTTGTAATACTCAAACCCCCTCTATTCAGAGTATATAGGTCATCTACAAAAAGAGAAATGAGCATCAGTTCCAGTTTTCCTCTACACAGTACAGACTGTCCTCTCTCCTTAAAAAAACAACAGATTATGAATTTGTAAGACTGTGACAGAATCTATACAAGAACTGTTCCCTGTTAAAAAAAGGAAAACTATTCTATGTAGGCTTTATTTCCTTTGTATTTCATTTATATTAATGATTATTTAAAACAAATACTTGAGAGATACTCAAGAAATAGAACGTCTTTGTAAAAATCTGGAATTTAAGTTCTTCCTCACCTTCATTTATACTGCAACAAAACCTAAAATTCACAAAAGACACCTCTTATGCATTCTTCAGCAAAACTAAGGTGGAATCAAGTATATTTCTTGTATTTCTAAGGCAGGAAGAAGACCAAGCATAACATGAAACAACCCACCAAAATGACAGAAACAAACCGTCTCTCTTTCAGACATTCCTGGTATATTGCAAAGCACTTAGGAAAACCACAGTCTTGTGGGTTTTTTCCCTTTTCAATATTCTTTTGTTTTTAGTTTTGTTTATAAACTACTGAAAGACAAAAGTAACTTTGTCTTTCAAGGCTAAGTTGCTCAAAACAAAGATTTTTGCCAAACAGAATGTTTGAGTTTCTTCTATTACCATCAGTAATAGATTTATTCTGGTTTATAATATTTTGGTTTTCAATTTTATTCATTTGCAAAATGTTTCTTTGTTAATTTTCTGGGGTTTAGTTTTGTTTCAGGAAACTATCAAGTCTTTGTGTTTTCTTCTGTAAAGTCAAGGGTAGTTCCATGTATCTTATTCAGTAACTACATAAACACGTTTGTAGTTTTAAGCATGAGGACTACTCACATATTTAAAGGCAAGCCTGTCCTAAAATATAGGCATTAATAATAAATATTTAATTTTCGTGTATACACAGAAAGCTGGACACAATTTTAATCCTAGTTTGCTCCTCATAACAATTATTTTAGGAACACTTGTTATGAAATGAATACAAATCTACACCTAAGGCTCTGGACTGAATTTTATTTGGGATTGAAAACTGTTGAATTTTTGGAGAGTTGCTTTAAAAGAATAAAATTATTTAACTAGTCCTATTTTATGCAGAATGGTACAGGCAAAATATTTAGTTTTAAATATTTTTTAAAACCAGATATTGATAAACACTGAAATAAAAATTTAAAGCGGAACACTCAGAAAGGGTCAGAGTTAGTCTTGACTTCAGGCAATGTAGAGAATTGTTGTATCTGTGACTTTCCAAACAGGGATCGAAGTTTCCTAGAATTCTCTAACTCATAGCTTGACACTAGCAATAACTCAGAGCATTATTTTGACTTCGCTACATTCCTTACATCAACACACGAGACAGCTTTTCACCTTTAAGAAGCAGCATTCCCCTATTAAAAAACAGAATCAGAGTGGGTACAATTCATCAGTCCTTCTGAAGCAGTCCTGCTGTCAGGACATAGGAGTGAGGGTGGATGTAAGGGAATATGTTGCTACCACTGTTCACCACAGTTTTACAATAATCTTATATCCAAAAACACAATGCCAGAACCAGAATTAATAAAAATTTAACCACAGGTGATATATAATTAACTGTGACCTATTGACACAGCCTACAGTTAAATTGCACATTATTTATAGAAATTTATAGAAATATGAACAGCTGTAACAAAGATATATTACATGATGTTTTTAGATATAACATTTTGACATATATTTGCAACAAATGCATGGCTCTGTAAAAATAACAAGTCTTAGAAGCTTAATCAGTTTAATTTTAGAAATTATGTCTGCCATAATGTTTTCAAACTCAAACTCTGTATCAGTTTCATCGTGTACATGAAAGTTACAACTTACAGCTTGTCACCTGAATAAACCACCCTGCTGATCAGTGCATATTACAGAGCCATGGAAATACATGTCATTCCTAGCACGTATTCTGTAAGCGGATACACAGATAGTTGTGCCTTACTTTGAATGGCCCCTTGTTCCAAGCCGCCTTGTGGTAAGAAGAGGGAATTTCTGGCGAATGGTCTAAAGAGAAAATAACTGCATTAATTTCTAACACTGGTATGCTTTCCAAGCAAACTGTTAATGGAAAAAATTGTAGTTTAAGTATGTGGTCTAATGCAGTCTGTGAATAAATATTTATGACACTTATGTCACAGCATAAACAGTTAAGTATGTTTTACACTATAGAGGTACTTCTATCCTTGTCCATCTCACCATGTGTCTCCAGTCTTCTCACGTACAAACTCCTGCCCACTTGTTCTTCTTTTCAGTTTTCACTTCTACAACATAAAATCTAATTTTCTTCTCCAGAATCCTGTTCCATTCAGGTCCCTAAACACCTGCATCTTTTGTTTCAGAGATCTAAACAGAAGCAGGGAAAGATCTGGCCTCTAGATATTCTGTTTTCAAAGACAAACTAAAAATAAACTGATTTTAGATTTGAAAAGTGTGATCTGAAGGTTCAAGCAAGCAAATATTTGTCTCATGAGTATTTCTGTGTCATTCACTATCAAAGAGCTGGACAGTCTTAAACATATTTATGCTCACTGAAACCCTACGAAAGTTTCTGTTAGGTCTATGCTGCACATAAAGAATTCATGTCATGTGATTTAATCCAAGTCAAGTAAAACATTCTGTCACTGGACTCCTGAGATTGAGATTAGTGCCCTAAAAACATCCTACTTTTCCTGTAAAGAATGATGCAAAAAGTTTACTAAGTAAAAAAGTAATTCAGAAATAAAGGTAGATCTAATGGATACATCTAATAGACAGATGACTGTCAAAACAACATTTAAATAGAAACCTGTTGTCTTCCTCATTTATACTGAAACTGTGTAATGAAAATTAGACATACACTTTCTCAGTATATCCAAAAGGAAAAAATTAGTAAGTGAACATTTTATAAACTGGACTTTAAATCCATTATTATTATTTAATTAAATTAATGCTATGTATGAACAATGACTAGATCAGTAGTGTTTAAACAAAGATGATCCTTGAAGCATTTTTGGTTTCCTGTTTCACCAACTACTCAGGATTTAATTTGGAGAGTTCACCTCTCCCTTTCATTAAATGATTTCAGGATTAATTGTAGGGAAGGGTAGAAAAGAGGATGAATCAACAATTTTTCATTCAGGAGCTCTTTATGTTATTAATTTCTATTTCCCTCTTGTATTGCTTCTTGTGCCACATCTCACTTTACACTGCCTTTAGTATAATTAAAAGTGTCTTCCGTGTTAGATCTGTTTTTGTGGAAAGAACACTATCAATGTCATCATTAAAAAAAGAAGAAAAAAACAAGGGGGGAGGGAAGCTCTTGGAAAGAATGCTTTTTTAGAAGTATGAAATAACAATAAATCAAAGGGAATTTCAGCTTCATTCTCCTATAAGGTGGTGCAATGAAATCCCTTCATATGCAACAGTTTAGTTAGTTTGATTCTGTGTTCACTAGCAGTAGAAAACATGTGAACTGGAGAGGCATCTTGCCACATGTGTACTAAATTGTCATTCTATCACAGAAATAGATTAACAAATCATGAAGATATTTACTTTTTACCTTCCCAAAAGTTGCAGCACAGGCAGGTTCCAGCCTCTCTTTTCTGCAGAAGTCTAAATAATGTGCATAAAGGATGCACCTTGGTAAACAAACTCCTTCACAGACAATGTAGTTTTCTTCCAGCCTGTATAAAGAAACAGCTATTTTATTTTCCTTCTGGTTTTGGTACTGCCCTCTTTTTTTTTTTTCTTTTTCTTCATTTTACTAAAGTTTCCATGAGAGCACACAGACTAGTTTCTGCTGAACAAGGCAGGTGCTAGAGACTGACTCTGAACTTGGTGCTTACGGTAGCTGTAGATTACAGAAAACTGGGGGTCAGGTTCCTTTTCTTCATGAGACTCTTTTCAATGTCTGGATGTTTTTGCTTTCTATGAATGGTTAAATGATCATCACCTAAAAGCCAGCCTTGCTCTGAAAATAAGAGCACAAATTAGACTATGAAAGACTTAGGTTTAGGTCTCAGCTTTGAATAGAGCAGGGGCTTGAAGATACATCTTTATCTTTAACGCCTGGGGTAATGTCTCTTTTCTTCCTACTTCTGCTTTTTAAGTTCCATCCTGGACCTGAAACTGTTTCTTGACCAAACTGTACTGAAAAGCAAAGAACTGGCTTTTTCTGAAGGCGATACTTTTTAATGTATCTTCCCAATCAGTTTAGAGAATACAAGTGCTTAGTGGTGATCATTAAAGTAAAATTTTGAAAACTGGACTAAAACCTGGTTGTCTTCATTTAAACTGAACTCTTGGTAACAGCTGGGTATTTCACAGTTGTCCTATTACTTTATCAGTTTACATTATTTGCTACTCCTGGGATGATGTGCAATAAATTTATGTCTCAGCTTACACAAATCTGTAAGAAAATACTGTGTAGTGAATGATGCATACTGAATAATTTTACACTGACTCACCAGAATCAAATCCTTACAATTTATGCTCAGAAGTCAGATGTAAACTAGACCAAGAAACTGAGAAATTCAGATTACTCTCATTTTACAGTTAGAAGAAAAAAAAAAATCTAGTTTTGCATTAGGTAACTAAATTCCCATTTAATTCGATGACAATCCTCCTTAATTTCAAGTGTGCATTAATAGAAAAATTTATCAATTTATGTCTGCAGAATTTGACCTCATATATGATTAATTTTTGCCCAGATAAAACGAAGTTAGGGCTTCCATGATGGTAGAATATAATGTAAAGAAAAATTATGAGACAGTGAAAGCCTAACATTCATATCCTTAAAGGATAAGCAAAACGTCCATTCATAAACGTAACTCTTAAGTTTCAGTTAGAGTTTTTTCTAAATCATTTTTTGACACATTTTATCGATTCTCCACATGTCATCGATAGTCACATATTGCAAGAATCTGATAAACCTCTGCTAATTTCAAACAAACAAACAAAAAACCAAAACAAACAAAAAACCAACAGAAATTTGAGGGTGGGTGTCCCTATTTGTAGGTGAAGCTTATCTAGGGTAAAAAAAAACCAACCAAACAAAAAACCCACCCCACAACCACCAAATATGTTTACCAGAGCTGTGAGATGTAATTACTTGCAGCCTCAGCTTTTAAAGAAATATCCCTTTGGACCTGCCAGACACACTGGGAGAACGCAGGGTGGTCCCGAGGAGCGCCCAGGCCCCTGGCCCGGTGGCGGACGGGGTGGGGATCTCGCCGCCGGAGCCCTACCATTGCAGGGTGAGCTGCGTCTGCTTCTTCTTGCCCTTCATAATCTGCGCGATGCTCTTCTTCGCAGAGGGGCTGTGGTCCGCGGCTTTCAGCGCGCCGTCGCGACTCTCTGCATCCTCTTCTTCCGAGGAGGCAGCTTCGCTGTTAAACCGCGTTTCTGAGCGTCCCGGGGGTAAAGGGTGGGGAACAAGAGGAGAAACCCGCGGGCAGGGTTACGGCCAGGCCAGCATGCCGCCTCCTCCCGACGCGCCCGCGGCCGCACAGCC